TCCCCCCCCCCCCCCCCGCCCCATTTATTCAAATTCAAGGCAATACACCCAAATCAAACTATCAACTACCTATGAAGTTCCACCATTCCCACCAAATGTAGAGCAAGAAAAGGTAATACGCGTATGTGTTTAAACAAGCAGATTTGCACCTATCCACAGCATAATGTGACATCAATTCGGTAAAACTTAAGGCGAAGATAAGCTATAAAAATCCTGATTTATTGGGCACCAAGGTTCAAACTATAATGACGCAATCATTGTCAAATCTGTATAGATTACCATATATGCAATATGCAATTTGCAGAGGCCATGACCAGACTGGCAGATTGGAAATCTATCCACAGTACTTATATTTACATAAACAAAAAAAGATAACTGTCGCTTATTATTTTATTCGTAGACATATCAAATCAACAAATAATGACAATCAAAAAGCAAGCATGATGTGAGAAAGCTGCTAAGAAGAAGGGATGCATATCTATAGTTGTTTCCCATATAATACAAATTGATAGATGATAGATAGTACCTTTCCAATCCACTAAGGTACTTATCGAAGACAAAAAAGTGAAGCCGGCCACTGGTCGAAGCTGCAAGCACCTCAAAGATATAATCACTGACAATCATATTGGCAATAATGGGAACAGCTGGAGCAATTCGAGAAAAAGCCTCGATCCCAACTGAGACATCCTCATCCATCTGCAATGAAAACACAAGTCATACGAGCCAAGACTATTTCTAGGAGGGGCGAGGGAAGGAAAGGGGGGGAGAGAGACAGGGAGGGGTAAGCCTAGTCAGATTTGAGAGCTTATAGAGAACTCTTAGAAAAATGCAGTTTCCTAGCATGCATAATGCAAGAATATATTCGCTCAAAACGAAAAACAATGATATTTAAACAAAAACTACAGCGAAATTGATGGTAATCAAAATGTTGTTTACGGCTTACTTATGAAATCCTGTTAATTAAACTATCTATACATACATTATGAAATGGTTTGCTCGCAGCTGCAGCAAACTCCCAAGCAACCATCATGTCAAATGTAAGCCGACGAAATTTTTTGTCATCCAGATAACCAGTTTCTCGAATAGACAGAGCAAGAGCCCTAAAGCAACAGTATTCCAAAAAGTTCCGTGCTAAGTTTGATGGATGCTTTAAAGAATCAGAAGCCTCTCCATTAAAGTTTTCTCGAAGTTGGGACATGGAGATGCCGAGGATTCTGCATTCATATAACAGCACATAACAAGTTATTGAAGGATACCCCAGGGAACACATGATATTGAATGTTTCAAAATTCTAAATATGGCCGAAAATTTTGAAGAAGGCTGCATTAATGTGCAATCATAAACTCAGGTGAAGTATTAGAAACAAAACTTTCCTTTATCTAGTGTGGATCTTGAATAACAAGATGCAGTAAAGCAGAAAACTAACTTTGAGCATCTCCGCACCACTACATTTGCCACAGGAGAGAGATCGTGCAGCCAGTTCTTCCCAGCAGATGGAGAATTTCTCATCTCCTCAATCTCATCATTGAATGGACACTGTGGTTTAGTTAACCACTTGAAAGACCCTTCTTTTACCAGGCCCTCAAGCATGTTCCGTGTTTTGTTGACCATAGCCATTTCCCACTACTCCTTTTTGATGCCACCTATTCAACAGCCTAGACTAGACAACCGTTGTTTATCATTCAATAATGATAGAAGAATCACAAAACTGATGAAACCTCTACCATTTAGCATTTACTACTACCTAATTAACAATATTTCGAAATCCACCGAGCAGGTATCCTCTTGTAACAATAATTTAAAGGATTCAAACATCTGCAAGAACAAATAGTCATTTTATTCAACACGGAATTTCCACTGACCCAATAATGCTTCAATGATTCAGACATAACAAACACAAGCCCTCTTCCACATTCAAATTGTGTTGCCCATTTATATGAAATTCAATTACCTGCCAAAATAATGAGAATAAACCCTCAAGGCCAAGAGAGCCGCAACTTTTCATGAACTCGGCCTGAAATGAACTTCTGAACCGATTTGTAAAAATCCCATCTCGCCAATTCGAAGAAACTGAAATTCAGATGCTGGAATGAATTGATTCCTACGCAGCCAGAAGAATATTACAAAGAATATCAACGTGTACTCAAAAACTCAAACAGAAAACACATTTGAGATAGATTCTGCCTTGCAGTGGGGTTCGTCGAATACTTTAATGGCAAAAAAATCGATTATGCAAAACAAGTTTCTTTCTTTTTCTTTTTCCAAAAAATAAAAAATAGAATATATGTTTGTTTCCATTTATATAAAAATGAGAATGAAAAATATAATCGTTATGATCCTACACATAAGAGATAGAAATTAAAATATGATGATTTGATATAATAGATAACGATCATATTTTTCATTTTAACGGGAAAAAGAAATGAGGGGAAAAACGCATACATTGTCGGTATCCTGCAGGGCAATTGTCTATTAATTGCTAGAGTAAAATTCAGCTAGAGAAAAGATCGAATCTAAGAGTACAACCCTATTTTATTTTAAATTTTCTGTTGTTTTTTTCAATATTTTACTATTCCCGGTATTCAAAATGCACAACTCCACCAATGCCCGAGGTGTTTCGCCATGGTTGGAACGTGGGCTGTCGATGCTGTAGGCGTGCCTAGGCGCGCGTTTTTATTGTTGTTGTTGTTATTTCACAATTTTTAGAAGACTGACTTTGTATCGGACGACAAGGATGACGAATTAGATGAAAAAGATGATATTCAATTGGAATCCGATAAAGAATTAGACAAGATTTAAACTCTTATGCCATATATATTATGATTTTGAAACTTATCTTTATGTTGAAAATTTTGAAAAAATGAATGAAAATTTTATTTTAGATGTTTGATAAATATTATTCTAATTATTAAATAATTTTTAGATTGATTAAATATTTTAAATAATATTAAAGTGAGAAAACGTTTTTTTTACGCTTAGACCTCATGTTAGTTCGCCTTGCCCAATATTAGACCTTCTCGCATCGTCATGGAATACGCGTTTTAGATCAATGCTATTTTCCTCAACTTATAGAACTAAGTGAGCTGGCCTAGCTCCAAGACCTTTTTCTAATCACAAGATAATTCAAATTTTTAGTATTAAAGAATAAATTAATTTGCATACCCACCCTAACCCGAGGAAATAAGGACAAATGGCCGGTTGACCAAGCCATTTTTTCACTTTGGCCTTTGACCAACTAATACAATTAAAAAAAAAGAAAAAAATAACATAAATGTTTGGAAACAAAAACTCGAAAATACCCCCAAACACGAGAAGACGACTTCAAGAACAGTTCCATAGTCTCTTACCATCAATCTTTCACAGTTGAAAGCACAATATCGACACCAACCGGTGTCGACACCAAACAACAACCCAGTTACTGACAATCTGCGTTTAGGTTAGCCTTTGTAATAAATATTAAATGGATTGAACATAAGATAGGAATTTGATTTTGTGAATGAAAATGGACATTTATTTACATTTATAGGTAGAGATACTTGATTAGATTAGATTGTGGAAGATGATTTGGCCTTTAGGGCCACATTTTAGTGCTCAATTACCAAAAATGGTGATTTTCGGTGCCATTATCGGCGATATGAAGAAGCCAGCTATTTAACAGTCTGGGCCTACCTTTTTTTCTTTTTCATTTTATTAATTAAGAAATATTAATTATTTTTTATAAATTGAAAATTAACAAATAATATAAATTTTTTAATTTAATTCTTTTTTTTCCTTTTTTATGCATAAATTTCATTTGAATTAAAAAAAATTAAACAAAAAATTTAATTTTTCAATTTTAATTAAATAATATTTATATAATTTATACAATTTTCTTTTGTTTAATTTTAAATATTATTATTATTATTATTATTTGGTAATAGGGTAAAAGAAAATTCTTAATTTTTTTATTCTTATTATAATTTACTTATTTTCAATTTAAAATACATTTTAATATTTTTTGCCTTATTTTTGTAGTTTTTGTATTTTCTTGAAATTATTTTGTTTAATTTAATTTGTATGTATTTCTTTTGTTTTTTCTTTATTTTTATGTTTGTCCTTTTTCTAAATCATTTATTAGCGTTTGTGTTTTGTGTTAAATGAATGTATATATTACAATTTGGTTTGATTGATTTTTCGTTACTATGATTTATTCCATTCTCTATTGTATAATGTTTTAACATTTGAATTTTTGCAGGATGAATTATTATCTAGATACAGAGTTGAGGTAGATATCGGGAAAAGCTACATGAAATAGTAGCTTTGACAGTTTTACTATAGTACTAGAGCTGTTGGATAATCAGGACGTAAATATCTTACACAAATCTTTCCTCTGGCCCCTATATCAGTTGAGGGAGGTGCAGTACTAGAGGCAGATCATCGACGCACTGCAATATCGATTGCTGAGTCCAGACGATGGCGATACCCTCCACTTTGACCTCGAAGGTAAGGTCAC